AAGTTTCAGTTTTTATAGGTGATATTGTACAACACCAAGTAACTTCTTATTCAGACATGTTCTTGTCCCATCACCTTTGCATTCCCTGTTCCCTTAACCTAGAATGCTTCTACTCTCATTTCTTTTGGTCTTTATTCACACATTTAGAACATTCTATCTAAAACTACCTTCCCTGGCAATGTCTTTCTTCTTGGTGATTATTATCATTATCTGATACAGTTCATATTTTACACCTGTATTTTTGGACTCTTTGTCCTTCTCCAACTGCATCCACATAAAGGAGAAGAAGTTTTCCCTTTTGTTCACAGCTGTATCCTTAGTCACTAGAACAACTTGACATCTAATATAAGTTGATACATATGGTTAAATAAAGGAGTGTTTAGCTAGGTTAAAAAAATATCTTTCAGATATATTAGAGGTTACACCATATTTTACCTTTCCCCTCCAGTAAATTTTACTTTTTTTAATTGAGATTTGGTTGAATATTTACAGAACTTAATTGGTTTTTCTTTCAAAGTTTCTAACAAAATACTTTTTGTTTTATGACACTGATTGAAATCTTCACAATGTAACAACATTCTTCCCACTTTTTCCCTGGTTGTACTGTTTCTGTTTGCTCTTTTTTTCTTATTCTTCTCCACCTTCAGAGCTTCATCCCTGGAAAAATGCTGGCATTTTGATTTGGTACAGTAAATGGTTCTAAAGAGTGTTTCCTTCCATGGTGTTATCCTTCACATCATACTTGTTGATTTTTGGCCGAAGATTGATCGATGTTAGTGAATTTAGTTCTGGCTTGGAGGGCAGTAAGGGATTTCAGTCTTGAGGGTTCCACCAACCTAAAATAATGGATCCTTTTTCAGTAAGACTTTGCTACCATTCTGAAGAAGAGATTCATGTACGACTGATGTGAACAGAAAAGAAATACTTTCTTTTTTTTTAAAAGAAGTCAACATAAATGTTGATTAGCATGTAAACTTCACTCAATGAACTGCTCTATTGACTGTATCTATGGAAGATGTCAGTGTAGCAGTGCAATATGAATAGTTAAAGTAAGGCCTGGGACTGAATACAGACCTGATCATCAATTACTCATATGCAAATTAAAATTTAAATTGTGATATGTTCAAGCAAGTTCACAAGAACCAATATATGACCTGAGTTTATCCCACATAAATTTAAAAGCTCTCTCAAATATGGCTTTTATGCACAAATATACATGACCAAACAAGCTGTAGAATTATTTCAAGGACACCATCCACAAAGAAAGTAAAAGGTTGTTACAAAGACAAGAAAGAAATAAAAGACCAAAATCTATGTCAGAAGAGACTTAAATTTTCACTATACTATAGAGAGGCCCAAACAAAGAAGAAATTCTGAAGTAAGGGAGCTAAATGGAAGACTGTAAAGAGCAATTTGAGAAGACAAAGCAAAGTATTAGAATAAAATTTACAAATAGCTGAAATTATAAAACTATAGTGAAAGAATATGTTCAATATTTCTCTAGAATATATTTAGTATTTCAAACTGGGAGAACTGAGAAACCAATTCAAGCTCCATGTTGCTATACAGAAAGATTCTTTGGTTAAAATATTGAATGATACAGGAAACATCAATAAGATGGGAAGAATATGTGAAATAACTGTAACAGAAAGAATTGGCTGATACTTCAGTAAGTTATATAGGATGAAGATCTAATTGTAATGATACAAGAAATTCAAGCTGTACTTAAAACATTGGCAAACATAAAGTTACAAGAATTTACAAGAATTGATGGAATTTAAAGTGTTTTCACAAAGCTATCCCTGGACATATTTACTAGCCTCTGCCAAGAAGTTTGGAAGACCAACTGATTGTAAGTGAGTTCCATATTTGTTCCTAAAAAAAAGGTTACTCAATAGAGTATAGGAACTCTTGAGTGATATCAATAATATCACATGCAAATAAAATCTTTCTGAAGATTATTTGTAAAAAAGTGGTTGGAAAAGTATATATACTGGGGACTCTAGAAATTAAAAGTGAATTCAGAAGAGGCTCTAGAAATAAAGGGAAAACATTGCTGAAGACAGACAACACCAGAAATATGTTTGTTTGTATTTTATTGTTTACAAAAGGGTATTTGACTGTGTAGATTATGCCAAATTATGGATAACATTGAGAGATATGGGAATTCCCAAACGCTTAATTGAGGTCATGCAATATTTTTACAAAGAGCAAGAAGCAGCCATCTTAAATTAGCAATTGACTAAGCAATTGGTTTAAGGTAAAAAAAATGTATGCATTAAAGTTGTTAAATCTATTCAAACTGTATGTTCTTCTTGTACACCATCAAATCAGATCTGACCCATAGCTGATTCTCTGGTGGGTTTTCAGAGGCAGTTAATCACACAGGAAGAGATTGTCCATCCTTCTCCCACAGATCACCATCAGGTCTGCAGCAGAACTTCTTGCCACTAGCCCATCAACCTAGTTAGCAAATAAATCAAGAATCTGGACTATATGAAAAAGAATGTAGTTACAAGATTGGAAGAAGACCCATCAACAACCTGCATTATGCAGGTGACATAACCATGAGTTCAGAAAATGACTTGAACACACACTGAAAAAAGATCAAAGCTTACAACTTTCAACATGCATTACAACTCAAAATCAAGAAAACAAAAAGTTTCACCACTAGTCCATGATAAGAGGAAAAAAGATCATTTTTTTCAATCATTTCAACAAGATCCACAATCAACACACACGGTAGCGGCAGTCAATAAATCAAAATTTATGTTGCAGTGGTAAAACACAACCTGAAGTACTTATTGAAGCTTGAAAGAGCAAGAATGTCAGTTTAAAGAGTAAAGTGCAACCCATGACATTTTCAGTTGCCTCCTTTGTATCTGAAAGTTGGACAACAATTCAGGAAGAGAAATAAAGAATCTATGCCTTTGGAATATGAGTATTGAAAATACCATGAAGTCCTAATAGAACAAATTAATTTGTATTGGAACAAGTGTATATAGGGTACCACTTACAGACAAGAAAGATGAAACTTAGTCTCACAATCTTTGGACTTGGTGTCAAGAGGGGCCAGTTCTTGGAAAAAGACATATTGAGAAATGTGGAGGGTCAGAGAAAGAGAAGAAGACCCCAAAAGAATGGGTTGGCACAAGGCTTATAATAATAATGAGAGAAATGACACATAATAGAGATTTAAGTCCCAGTAATCTCATCTTTACCATGAGGAACGCTAGATACACCCCTTTGAGGGTGGGAGCCCAGTGACTGCAATAAGGCAAATAAGTTGATTAAGAGCAGGGAGTACCCGAGGAATGTCTATGCAAAGGCATTCGACTGTGTGGATCCCAACAAACTGTGGCTACCTCTGAGAAGAATGGGAATTCCAGAACGCTTGATCAAGCTTATGGGAAACCTATACTTGGACCTGGAGGCAGTCATCAGAACAGAGCAAGGAAACACTGCACGGTTCAAAATTGGGAAGGGTGTGCACCAGGGATGTGTCCTATCTCCATATCTTTTCAATCTATATGCAGAATAGATTACCCGGGAGGCTGGGATTTATAAGAAATGTGGCATCAAGATTGGAGGAAGACTCATCAACAAATAGCATTATGCAGATAACACAA